AGGTATGTCTTGCTGTTTATTACTTCTTTATTACGGACTGTTTGAAAATCGAAGTCATTTAACCTAGGCTTCCTTTTGAAGGATGGGAACAAATGATAATTTCCAAAGGCACTCAGTCGGTGCCATGGCCGGGAAAGGGTTAATGTGTTTCAACCTGATCAGAGATTCATCAATCCACTCCTGTGGTATTGATGCCTTCTCTGGTCCATAACTCAGCTTCCATATTACAAAAGCATTCATATTTGCGCATTACCCTATGGTTCTTCAAAAATTAAATTGGAAAGAATTGATTTGCGAAGATCATTATGAATGTGTTTAAATACTTTAGAGGCGTTTCTGGTCGCGTCGTCCGGTTGCCAACTAAAATGTCGTGTAACTAGTTGGAAACTCTTCGGTGCTGCATTGGGCATTTTTTCGTTTGCATCTGATCACTCAATTCAAGCGGCTCACCAGCACAGATGGCTGACGAAGGTGAATATTTGCATACACATTTGTTACACTTCTTTGATGTGTTTCAGTTCCCTGTAAACAGTTTTTCGTTTCAGGCAGATTTGGTGCTGAGCGGAAAGCTGACTAAAGAGGCACTCATACGTGAAGCGAGCCAGTTTCTTTCGCAGTTCGATGCCCTTGGATCACAGTTTAACTTCGGTATTGCCGATCTGATTGCAAGGTATCGGTCTCCGCTTTTTCCTGTTTAATCATTCAACTAGGTCTACCTGAATAATGATAGAGGAGAAGAGCCTCCATTCTTTATCTATTTTAGGATTTCTTTTGATTTTATCAGGTGTTTAAAATGTTTCAGAATTATCACAGGCCTTGGTGTGTGGAGAAAAGAGTTTGGGAGTGGGTGAACCAATCGCTTACCCGAGAAAGGCTACGCCGAGGAGGAGGAAATCAAAAAAAAATGAAAATTGTTTACGCACTCCTAGAGTCTCTCCCACAGGGCTTGCTCCTGAACGTTAATATATGATAATAATAAAAGCAAATGTTTGTCGTGGTCTGAACACATTGACGCTATTCACCCTCCCCCTTTTCTCCCTCTCCACTCTTATTTAAATAGACTCCAATTACTTGACACTGTAAGGTCCTCATACGACGGGAGAATAAGTAAATCATGAGAGGTTTTTTTTCGCTTGTTGCTGGCCTGCCAGATATTTTCCTACTTTCCGGATAGCTCGGCCCAGCATAGGGCATATGTTGTATTGTATTGTACCGGGTATTGTTAGTTTTTCTTTGCTCTATGCGTGACTTCTTATTTTCAGTGCTATTTGCGCTATGCCCATGGCCCTGGTCTTTGGGTGGTAGAATTGAAATCCAGCTTGAAGAGTGGGCTCATCACAAGCCCATGTTGCTTATTCTTGAAGGTAGCACAGCTTGAGTCACTCCACCACTGCAATCCTGATGGAAACTGCTCGATGCATATTGTTTTTTCGACGTTTTCTTCGTCTTGAGATTCGAATGGTACTGAATACGGTAACTTGGGTCTGCAGTTTTTAAGTCCCAGTAGAAACATGCATTGATTACACCGGAGAAATCGCAGAATGTAGTTGTCTCAAGTGGGGATTGTGTTGGTTAGTGCTGCTACATACTTTTTGTCACTTCTTGTGGACAAGCACTGAATTTGGTTCACTGCAAAAAATGTCAAGGGCACGGATTGTGTAGGGATCGGTGTGTTCTCACGCTCGAAAATGAACAAGAGGTGCGGTTGGAGACAGTAGGTGGAAAATGAAACTGCGTATACTGGGAACGTGTAAAAATGGCAGTGGTCATGGCAAGGTTCAGCGCACACTCGAGTTGCGACAGTGCTACGACTCCTGTGTTTAGGGACCCTGTACCCTTATTTATAGAGAAAATCGCTTTGAATATCTGATTGTGTCCCGTGACTTTAAGGCTAATATTTCTAAAGGGCCTTCCATTCTAAAGTCACGTGTTCGAATCTTGTCGATTCCTACCTTAAGTAGGGGCCCCCGCCCGTTTTCTGTCACTCACGCCATCATAGGCTCACTATCTAAGCCGTAAAATCGTCAAATGAACGAGCGGAGTAGGGGTCATTTTTCGAGGTTTTTTTCTTTCTCTGCTTTTTTTTCTGATTTCTGAGTCATTGACGCACCGCTTGGCACCTCTATTTTATATTTGTAACCACTGCCTTCAAGCAATATTATTAGTGGTGTTGAATAGATGTTGTTAGTTTTTGCTTTTTTGTTGGTAGTCCAATGCTTTTGCAGATCTCTGTTGACTGGGTCTTCCGAGTTTCCTCTCCCAAACAATGTGGAGCTATGGGCAAAGAGGCTGGATTCAGTCATGTGAACTTCTTTGATTTTTGTTTGCTCATAATTGTGGGATGTAGCTAAATCACACTATCATTCTAGTCCTAAAGTTATGTTGGCATTGAAAAGTTAATTGATAATAGTGAAGAGTATGCCTGCTAGGGCGAGCCGTTTTGTTATAAGTGCCTGTTTGTTTTCTTTCTGATTTTCTTTTACAATATGAATGAATATTGTAGGAATGACTTTCTATGAATCTATTGATTTTTTACGGAAGTTTGAGTTGAATTGTTGCTTTTTGCGTTATATAAATGCATTTCTCAAGTAACAGTGCTCTGTAATCTTCTGGTTTTTGAGCCACTAATACTGCGGCTTTCGTTTTAGCTAATATTATTTGGAAAAGCGCTGGACGTCAATGCTACTAATTCTTTTTTCAGGTAGAAGAATCTTTTTTTTCCTCTCATCGGACGAAATGCCTTTCATGCACGGTACCATGCCGCTACGGCGGACATTTTATTATCTACTGCAAGGAAAAATCAAATTCAGGGATGATGTCCAGGTAAACATAGTCATTCATATATAGAAGGTAAATTTGTTAAGTGAAGTGGAATCATTTCATAGTGGTGCTTTCGTGACTTGCAGTGGTGTATTTTGGAAGCAAAAACCGAAGTTTTCTTTAGGTTTTTATTGCTTTAGGGAACTTGTTGATTTCTAGTATTATTCCACAATTGAGAATTTTTGTTCTCCTTCTTGAAAGAAGAAGAAGAAGAGTGAGTGATCCGCTGAAATCTGTTGAAATAATTTTCAGTCTTTTCGCGTTTGTTACAATTAGACCATAGTACATCTAAGACGTAATGCGTTCAGTCATCTGATTGGTGTCATTAAGGTATTCGCTATGGGCTTCCATCGACAGCCGAATGAAGAACAGAAAGGAGCGCGAGAGTTCGTGTTTTGGCACTGGGCCCAGCTTCAGTTCAAGAACCCTCGAGTACAGCTCGTCAAGCACATCGACACTGTTATTACTCCCTTTGCGAGAGCGTACCTAAGTTAGTGTTTTTTCGTAATTTTAAGAATATTTTTTTCAAGAAGATATCGCTCGAGCGAGATCTTCCTTTGGGGAAGTGAAAGCAAGAACGTTTTTCTGGAAAAAATTCGGTAGTTTGGAAAGGAGTTGCGCGAGGGAAGAGGCAAAAACCGAACTCTTGCTTGAGCTGGTGATGTTAGCGAGATAGGATGACATAATCGTCACATGAACACATTAAAAACCAAGGTGACCAGTTTGCAGGTTATCCCCCATCGTGCTTCGCTACGACATTGTTCGCTGATTTTTTACGTTGCCTTTTCCTATTTAGCACTCTTCCATGCTGTTTTTGTGATCTTTTGTCCTATTATCAAACATTTACAGGAGACGGTCGTGAAGTATTGTTCGACCTTGAAGGTATGACTCGTGAGGAAATTGAATCACGAATTGCAACAACATTAGGAAAAACCGAACTTGTCATGAAACGAGAGGAACTAATGGAGATTGCGAAGCTGAACCCAGCTGATTTTGGTTCGAAATGCAAAAGACAGGTGCGAGAGTTTCAAGAGCTTTTGATCATGACTGTTGAGTTGGTAAGAGGTTAGGGTTTGTGTCTTCGAGGATGTTGTTATTGCTTAATTGGTTCCAGTGTATGTGTGAAGTGCAAGGGCAACATCCGTGCACAGCACTTTTGCATGCCCCGAAATACATGACCGGCAAGTGGAGGTGGAATCACAATCTGATATAAATTCTTCGTTCTGTGTTACTTTTCATTACATTGTTTTTTTTGTATATTATACGAACAAGTCATTGCTAACATACTCTTAGTAGAGCACGCTATTACTATTGTAAGGTTTGATACTGTAGCTTGAATCAGAAATTCTGTCGCCTTACCTGCTCAAATTATTGACCTTTCGTTGTTATGTGATGGGAGTTACCCAGTCGTAAACCCACCACAACTCAAGCTCAGTGCTGGTGACGGAATTTGCCCCGTGCCTACTGCGTGAAATTAGAAGCGTAGGTGAACAAATCAAGGTTGCTTTACCACAGGGTAGCCAGTACTCCGCATTTTGCTAACTGTGCGTTATAAGCAACAGAACGGTGTTCATGCCCTTGAATGGAGGTGGGAGGAGGCGGGGCAGCATTCAAAAAAGTGCCACTTTTAGTTCTTTGAACCAACATTATATCTTCAGGGAAGGAAGAGATTCTGTGAGGAGGATGTGAGCAATTTTTGTTCACCGTGGCTTTTCCGACCGGCTTAGTCGTAGTGTCACCTAACAGTTGTTTTTTATGACCTGCTCAGAATGTCCTTCCCTTCTCCGGAGGCCATGAGTGCTCAGAATCCTTGAGTAATTTCTATTTTGTACACTCGATTTCCTTAGGTGCACTATTCAAGTCCGCAGTTCATTAAACGGTGCGATGAAATCTGGACTAGGTATCCCAGGGGAAGCATTAGGTTTACTGAGAGGGCTGCATAGGAAAATGAAAATCTTGATCCCTCTGTTTGACGACTGCAAGATTCTTTCTCTAGATTCTGTGTGTACACACAATTACATATTGTTGATTGTTAAGCAAATAGAATAAAAATTAACTTTTTGGTAATCGTCTCGTTCGCTATTGCGCATGCGATCAGGCTGTCAGGCTATCAGGCTGTAAAAAACCAACATGTGACTTAGTATGCTGTGGGCGAGAAAGATTGCCTACGTATTTGTTTCCTCCGCCCACAGAGCGATCGCCGGATCGTCTATTCGCCTAATCGATATCAAGTAGTAGCCTATAAATTCTATTCAACTTGATTACAAAGACCATTGGAATTTTCTTCTGTGATAACATATTGTTTTTAAGAAACATCTCAATGGCGCAGAAAAAACTGGTTCGTGATTGTCGACTTGGAATTTCGTTTGATAACCTCTAATCAAAGAGCTCACATTCATGGCACGTCATATGCCGCTAGCGGCAACGGCAATTGGATATTCTGCTAGGTAGAATATAAGAAAGCAGCACCTTATTACACCATTCCCCAGCTGAATGCATACTGCTTAGAAATGGGCGGTTGTATCGCATCGCTCTTAAGCCATCCACAGCGCCCATAATTTCAAAATTAGTCGAGACTTGTCTTGGAGGTTCAAGCGCTTGTAAATCGACCTCCACCAGAAAGTCGTTGTCAAGTCAAGTCACGCCGAGTTGCATATGAATACAGCATCTGAGTAGAATGCGTGGAGCAACTCAAAAATGATGCATAGCGCTGAATCATCCTCTATCGCTGCTTCATCGCTTATGACCTGACCACAACAATTCGCCATACCCTGAAAACTGCCTTCAATGACTGAGGTGAAAAGCTACTGATGAAGTGGGCTCAACCTCACTTGCACCGTTAACTTCACTTGCACCGTATGTCTAACTTCACTTACACCGTATGTCCAGGTTGAACACATGACGCATCTTTGTGTTCGTTTTTCTCACATTTTTAAATGGATCTGTCAGCAGAGAAAAAATTTTATTCGAAGATAAACAGTCACAGATGCACCAAGTACCAATCAACAACATTCTGCTTCGCCAGGTCGTTCGCCTGTCATGGCTAAATTTGGAACTTTTCCAGTAGCGGGTGCCTGGGTCGGAGCAGTGCTTGCGCTGGGTTTCGCTTCTGTTTGGGCTCCGGTGGGTTCGTAAAGGTCGATGATTTTGTCTATTGTACTTGCATCATCGGTGTCTTGTTTGGAAATCGTTGTGCTCTCTTTCGTCAATCCCTTTTTACCTTTGCCCTTTCCCTTACCCCCATGATGACCTTTATGGCGATGATGCTTTTTCTTAGGCGTCTTGGCGACGGACTTCACCTTCTTTTCAGAAGCAGCTTTCTTTGCGGGTGATGGGCGCGATGACTCCTGTGGCTTGGGAGATCGCGCGCTCTCCATTTCGACTTGTGAAGACTCGTCATCGTCTGCCTCCTCAGATGATTGGCGCATTTTGTTTACGATGTAGAACTGGAAAACGGCATCCAGAAACATGATGGTGGCTATTATAAAAAGGTATAGCCCAGTTTCATCGCTGAAAAAACCGAGATCAATACCATGGCAAAGGTAATCGGACGCTAAATCATCCTCTGAAGGCACAGCCTACGATCGATGGCAACTTGCTTGGAACTGAAAAGAGGAGTGCGTAGTGGATCGCCAGTTAAAGGAGGAATTCACGATTAGAATGAAGGTCGAAGAAGAAGTAATTGACCTAGTTGAGGGACCCACGGACCTCCTGAGGGTGCGAACTGACGCGCAATTCGCATGGAAAAATTTGACCTCGGCGACCTATCATGCCTCAAAGCTGGCGGGTCCGGCGATCTCCGCCCACCGATCATCTGATCACTCGCCGTAGTTCAATACGTGGCGAGTGATTAGATAGCTGAGAGAGCGTAGTGTTGAAGAGGGCACAGCGATGAGAGTCGCATCAATGCTCAAATCAACGGGCAAGGAAGGGGTCCCATTTCTCGGGTTCTGGGCCGTTTCTCATGGTTCTTCCTTCTTTCGTGTACCACTCACCATCCCTAGGTTAATTTGAAATGGGTTGCTTTTTCATCGTGAATTCGTCCTTAAAGCGAGGGATTACGATAAGTTTGGACTGGTTCATAGTGGAAGTGGAGATGCTGAATAATGCCCCAGTGGCGAAAAAAGCAAAGAAATCCGTCAAGAACGCGCAAAATGGGACCCGTTTACTTGCTGAACGATCTAGCAACCAATTAAGAGGCGCTGCACATGTTGGTGCTCGACAAGGGGTCCGTTGCGCAGCGCAAGAAGGCAGTGTCAGCGGACGAGTTGCAGCGCGTGATGTGCGATGTAGGACGTACAATGTACACTCTATCCAAAATCACGACAGGCAAGCCTTGATTGATAACGCATTCTAGGGGAATGTTATAAGATATGCAGTCGGAGTGGAATGTCTTATCCAAATAACAAGAGCAATAACACTATTGAGGGGCGGAGCTCAAAAAGGACTGGCAGCTTCAGGGAGCTGAAATAGCGCACGTTTGGTCACAAAAGGCCACATCTCGCTTTCTTAGGCCCCTGACTACTGCTTCCACTGGTGCATGTACTTCCATGCTTGCACACACACTTTATCGTAATCTCTCGCTTAAAAGCTTCATTTCAATGAGGGAAAGATACCGCAGAAATTATCATACATGCCTCTTTTTCCACCATGTCAAAGACTAGTAGTAAGAAGCAGAGAACGAGATAAGATACAGTGGGAGGGGTGCGGTTCGCGAGGGCAGAAAGCGAATTTTTCGCCTTCCGCAGCATGGAACAGTTCCCGCTGAGGAAACTCCAGGTCCACTTATGATTAACGGTGGACCTGAGGTTCCCGCAGCGAGAAAACGGAAAGCTAATTTTCTTTCCCAGGAAACCACACGCTACTGGCGCCGATACGACAGAAATCTAGGCAGATACGAGCGCACAAAGCGGGGAGCGATACAAAGACAGCGTGACGAATCTATGTCTTGAG